CCTGTCATCCACCCATTCACACACACATTCACACACTGGTGATGGCAAGCTACATTGTAGCCACAGCCACCCTGGACAGAGGCGAGGCTGTCGGACACTGGCACCACCGGGCCCTCTGACCACCACCAGTAGGCAACGGGTGAAGTGTCTTGCCGACACAACGACCGAGGAGCCGGGGCTCGAACCAGCAACCTTCCGATTACAAGGTGAACTCCCAACTCTTGAGCCACGATCGCCCTGATGTGATTTAAAAATTTTTTTTTCCATAACAAGTAGGAACTCAAAGAAGGCCAGCCAACGAAATCTGTGCCTAAGGTACATAAATCCTCTAGATACATGGATTAGCAATAATCTATTTCCTCTTAAGTTTTACCACAGTTTTAAACTTTAGTTGTGGTGGGGACTGGGACACAAAAGCACTGGATTAAGTGAATAAATAAGTCAATGAGCAAATAATACCCTTTAAGTTTTATGTGCTACAAATAAATAACTTAGAAATGCTGCATCTAAGTCTCTTATTATGCAGATGAACTGCTGGTCTACCATCTGCAGCCATACTCCTCTGAGGCCTCCATGAGTTTGCTATAGTGGCACATGAACCTGTTCTCCACCCTAAACAGGTTCTGGTTGCAACAGCCCTTCAGCTCACAGGATCTCCAGAGTGGGAGGAGGACAACAGCCATAAGCTCTAGTCCACAACAGGAGACTGGAGGAAAACAGGAGATGGAAAAGCCCAGACCCTGAAGTTTATATATATAGGTCAAAGGATTGTCCACAAGTAAACTGACTGTGGATGCATTGTTCTCTCAAACAAACAAAAAATAATAACACCCAAATATACTTGGATGGTTTATGTAGGGGAAATACTGATTTGGTCACTGTTTGAAGTCTATTGTTAGACATCTTACCTCACAACGAAAGGGCTTCTCTCCAGAGTGCTGGAGTGAGTGAACTTTCAAAGACATACTGCGCTTAAATGACTTCCCACACGTTTCACAGGTGAATGGCATGTCCTTCGTATGAGCTGGATTTAAGAGAAAAAAATGCAAGTGACATGGCTAAATCATAACAAACTAATCAAATTAAAGTTTTAACTAAATTGGTATTGCTTGAATAAATGCTATGATGAGACATGATCATACAAAAGTATTTACATTTCACAATATTTAAAAAGAAAAGGCAGCATGTTGTCACTAAAGACACTATGCTGAGTATCTATAAGAAAAAAAAAAAAAGGATCTTGTACAGGTGAATATTATTTAATTGAAAGCCATGTGGTGTCTCACACTTCTAGATACAGTAACAGACAGCAGCCGCAACTTACCAACCATGTGCTTTCGGACGTGAGCCATAGTGTAGAATTTTTTCTCACAGATTTCACATGAGAACTTCTTTTCTGCATAGCCATGCACAATTTTGATGTGCTCATGCAATGACCAGAGCTTCTTAAAAGACTTGCTGCAGGAAACACACTGAAGAACAATAACAACAAAAATGTATAAAGAGAAGACAAAAAAAATATTAATATTAAGCATTTTGTTTTGATCAGCCAGAATTCTTTTATTATACTCCAGCGCCCTCTGCTGGGCAAAACAAGTCAAAAAGTCAGCAAGGGTTTATCTTGCTGAAATCCCTCTAAATCCTACCATCAAAGTAAAAACGGAAGCGGCCAAATCATCATAACTAAATCATTACTCTTGATTTAAAAAACAACAACAACAACAACAACAAAAAAAACTTCAATAGTAATACTTCCTTCTTAAATCATATCAAACATAATGCAACCCAATCAAAAGACCATTTTAATTTCAAAGTATAAATCAATGGTACTTGGACAGTTGCAGACAAGTACTATACATTGTTTGGCCATGACCAAACATCAAACTGGGCGTTGCAGTAATTTCTGTCTAGCATGAGTTTTATGGTTAGGCTGTTGTCTCCCTAAAATAAAATATCTTGCAGCGTGACAAGATAACAACCAGATGAACTGTGAAAAAGTATCCACACAAACAAAGTGGCCAAAAAAAAAAAAAAAAAAAAAAAAAAATACAGTTTCTTCCAGCTGCCTTTTAGCATGTGATTGCCAAGATGTCATGTGAATTATTTCCAACAACGTGTTCCTTTTTTCCATGTTAACAAAATCAATCAATTAATAAAATGAAACACTGTGGAACCAGTTGTGTGCACATACTCTTACATCTCACCCTGGAGCTCTTTCACAGCTGCCACCGGTACTGCTGGTAGCATCACAAGTGTGTTTATATACAGATGTTCATGTTTTAACGTCAGCCTACTCAAAAAAGATCCACATTTTGCCATAGTACAAATGATTGTATAGACATGTTTAAAAGATTCCTAATTTCCCTTTGTTTTATATTGTAATATAACTACTGTTCTCTCTGGTTATCAGAAAAGCTGACAGAAAACATGAAAGTGGAAAAACTGAACTTCATAATTCAGAGCCTTTTAAATTAGATTGTTAGTACACATGCACAGAAATTACTCATTTGAGAGTTGCTTCAAGGACAAAAAATAAGGGGGGGAAACAAACAAAAAAGAAACAGAAAAAAAGAAACAGTTGCACAATTACACATATGATATCTCCATGACGTGAGAACAGGTTTCTTTATACCCTGTAATTGTTTCAAACTGTTTCGGGTGGCTCAGAGGAAGCTGCTCAAATAACATTTTCTTTAAACTGCAGATGCAAATCAAGCAGAACAAACCAAGGGCTAAATAAAGCTGCTAAAAACAGCTGTATAACCCTTGGGGATTCAGATGCTGAGTCGCCTTTTTCAATTTTAGAGAAGTAAAACCACAATGCACCTTCTTTCACTGAAATATTTTTGATAATAGATGGCTGATTTAATAACGTCAGTTTCAGATGTCCTGTATCTAAAAATATTGCTTAAGCATTACCAGTAATGCACACATGACTTTTCAAACAAAATACAATTAGTATTTTTAGGTTGCATATTTGACAGAAATCTTCTGTGCTATTTTACCCCAAACCATGACGATGTTGTTATCAATAGCTTATGAAGTAAATTCAACACAAACTCCTACAGCTGTATTGTTGTGGTGGCTGAAAACAATATGGCCCTCAAAACATGGAGCTAGCACACAATCTAAACATAAATTACACAGGAAATGCTTAGACCGAGCTCAGATTTCCCGTCATTTCTTCAAAGCACACCGCAGCTTAAGTTATGTTTCAGGAGATAAAATGTTATGGCATTTTTTGTGTGCTTTTACTTTCATGGTAATAACTTCTAATTACCATTGTCTAGGTAGAATTTTTATATAGCAGTCCATGATAACTTTAGACGTTTTATAAAAACTTAATGAATATCAAAAGAAGAAAGAAAGCTACAGAAATACTGCAGAATTTCAAGGTTAATATCATGGCTAATGTGACAAGTCGAACACTTCTGGAATTCAGGAATATCTAATTCAGCTAAATTAAATTTCTTGCTATATGTGCTTTTTACTGACCTTTCTGCATATTTCATAACTGATATCCGTTTTAATTAGTGAGTGATGAATGTTGTATAATGGCTGCATAAAATCACTAGCATGAAGCACCTTGAAAGCTGCATCCCCCGTGAAATGATTGTTGGCCACCTTAGTTAAAAAGCCACACTCTTCTCCTGTGAGCTAACAGCTGAAAACCCACTTTCAGTTCTCAGCTGCCGCTACATTCAAACTGCCACATAAATGAGCTGAGAGAGCTCCGAGTCTGCTGCTGCTAGCAAGTTACTGAAACTTTTAGCAATCACTGTTTTCTCTTTGAAAATTGAACTTTTTAAAGTGTCAAATGTTGCCTTTAGATTTTCTAACAAAATAAATGCCAACATCAACCAAGAGGGTATCATAGTCATCAGGTAACAAGTTTGGTCACATTAAAAAGTTTTAAACAAAGTGATTACTTTCACATACCACAATAACTCACTTTAAAGCCAAGTCATTTTTTGGTCATTACTTCCACTAAATGATTTACAGTTAATTCTGTAAAAAAAACATAACTACATATCATTTGCCTTTTTTTTTTTTCCTTTCTTGAACAAGCAGCCACCTTTAGTGGCAGAAAACTGCATCCTGACTTAATACTACAGTTACATTGGATGGGTGGATGGATGGATATATATATTTTTTTCCCCTATTTTTTTTTATTTTTTTTTAAATACATGACTACAAATTCTAATCAGTTAAATATGACTGATTTCAGTTCAAATGTAATTTAGAAATAAACTGAAACCTGCCAGAAATATACTTAAATATATGCTGAAAAATGCAATATTATAATTACTAATACATAAGAATTTGTGTCCGCAGGTGTCGGAGCATCAGATAAGGCTGTAGTACAGGTGCACAAGTCTCATGGCTTAGTTGAAAGTCTTGTTCTAATTTATCTAAACATCTTTATACGTAAGAATATATTAAACCTCTTTCTCCAGAATAACATTTACAAGAGTAACTACACAAATATCAGATAAAGGTTTGGATTACCTGAATGTTCTTCTCACAATCAGTCTGCTGGTGCAAGGCTAGCTCACTCTCCAAGACAAACTTCTTGCCGCACTTGTCACAGATCTGCATTCGTCTGTGTGTAACATTCATGTGCTTCTCCAGGTACCAGCGTGTGTTGAATACTCGAGGACATTTTTCACATGCCAGCATCTCCTTCTCCTCCACCTCTGCTTTCCCTCCTGATGGTACAGTAGGAGAAGAGGATGGAGCTGACCTAGCTGACCTGCCTTTGCTCTTTGGAGGCTCTGTGCGTTTCCGTCGCCCTCTGGTGGTCATTCCAGCAGGGGTAGCACCCAGAGCTGTTCGCAGACTTTTCCTCCGTGGCTGGCTGGAAGCAGCTGCACTACTAGACCCTCGACGGGTTCTCTTTGACCGCGTTCTTTGACTTTCAACATCATCTTCCTCCTCATCTTCCTCCTCATCCTCCTCAGGGCTCTCATCTTCCTCCTCCTCCTCCTCTTCTTCCTCCTCCTCTTCATCGTCGTCATCATCACTTCCAGCTCTTTCAGAGTCATCTACTGTGGTTCCAGTTTTATTGTCCCCTTTGGATACATGAAGTGTCTGGTTGTTCAGGTTGACCTCCACAATGATTTGCTCACGCTTGAAACTCTCCTCACCATCCTCACCCTCTTCTTCCTCCTCATCTTCATCATCATCTTCAGTATCATCAGAGGATCCATCATTGCCTGCCTGGGACCCCTGTGTCCCCACCTCCTGCCCAGCCCCCCCTTCTCTGAAATACTGCTGATGTTGGTGTTGACCAATGTTCTGCTCTCCCATGGATGTCTTGGCTGCCATTTTATTGTCCACTAACACAGAATAAGGCTTGCCACCAACCTCCCTCTTATAAATCTTTCCTGTCAAGTCCAGGTCTGGGTTAGGAGAGTGAAAGTAGGACTGGGACACCGGTGCCCTGCGTCCTTCCTCCTGTGACATCCCGCCAAGACTAGGGATGGAAACCTCTTCCTTGAGGCTTTGACAGGATTTCATGAAGAGGGAGAAGGTATGGAGGGGTACAGTTAGTAGGAGCACAGGGCAACGGAAAAGAGTAACAGCGGTGGTAACTAGGTAGACTAGCCTACCCTACAAGGAGAGGCAGGGGACACCACACTAATCCCCCACCCTCCTTCTACTGAAAAGACAGGAAGGAGGGGATGAGGTGAGAGACAGTCAACCGGATTCAAAGAGAGCATCCATGCTGTCCAAGCAAAGAACTGCAGCTGTATAGACATACAATCAGTTCCAACTTTTGTACCATGTGCTTAAGAATCAGAAAGCAAAACCAAAGTCTTAACGTTGATTCTCAACATTTAAAATTATCCCCTCCAGTTGTTGAGCTGCAGGCTGCTGCCCTGCAGAGCGCCAGTCTTCAAACAGTAGAGCAGGTAAAGATGAGCTGAATACCAAAAACGGAAATGCTGTAAGGACCTCTGCGTCTTGCTTGAACAGCCATTTGTTGTGCATTACCTATGAGATAAGACAAAGAAACAGAATAATATAGATGAGAGTGTTCCGTGTGACCTGAAACTACAGCCATATTGTCAAGTTCTGAACAGTGAGTGCCACACTTGGCCACAAATGTTTCAGTGTTGTGTGTAGGAGTGGAAACCACAGCTTTCACACATGAATGCGAGTGAATTCAATTTCAACAAATGAGCAGTCTAAATATTTCTAAACCACAACTGAAACACCTCATTATAAAGCAGAGACAGTTTGCTTTATAGAGTGACACATCAACATTCATGCTTGCAATAAGGACATATTTAGATCAACTAAAGTGCAACAAGTCACAACTTCTTCTCAGTACTGAAAACATGTAACATATCTTCTTAAAGACAATCTGATCGATGTCAATGCTAGAGCAGAAAACAGCCTGTTTGTTAAACAACATCAGTTGTCTATGCACAAACACAGATGCAATCACTGTAAACTACCTACAATCTGAAACTTAATAAATAAATTGGTACTCACTCAGTCCTAACTGTGTTCCAGTGGTGGTTAGAGACCATTTACAGAAATACTTCTCAGAAAGCAAAAGCCAGATTCAAGTTCTAAAGCACACTGATTAAACAACACAAGATCTTCTTCAACATCACACATGCACAAACCTCCCATTGACTGTTGGAGAGTATAGTGTAACCACAGCTTAGGAGCTTGTATTGCAAATACAACCACAGGAAACTGTATGTCAACCTTTCAGTGAAGCCGAAGTAGTGCACTTCTTGTAACAAACAGTATTATCACTGTGCTCATGCAAGTAACAGCTCAAAAAACATTGAATCAAAGAGTAATGTATTACTTATGTATGATGTTGGTTTTGGTGTAAATGTAATCCTGGAACTGACCCTGGATGACAGGTTGCTGACCTTGAACAACCCTACACCCTACAAACCATTTTGAGTGTGCACCAGGGCGGTTTGCTCGCTAGAAAACCTCCCCCCATGCAATAAACAAAAATTACATTTCCTTTCCAGGAGACAGCAAACATCCTCTCCTCAGAATCTTCACAAACATCTTATGCTTAAATTTCAAGAACTGACACACCACTGTCTACAAAGAAATCACAAACAGGCTAACAGGTACTTTCACATTCACACACACCCCCACTCCACCCATGAACTCTACTTTGTTCTGATGTTTAATTTATAGTCACCATTAGAAAAGAGTTTCTGTAAATGCCAGAAAAAGGAGCATTACTGTGCAAATAATGGGAAATGCAGCTGAAACGATGGGTCACACTTTGTAATTAAGGCATAAGCCTAATTATTTTACCGTGATCAAATATTAATCATAATGAGTTCTCTGAGGCTTAACCAGATCATTATTTGTCAGTTAAACTGTTGGTGTAATTTGTGGTGTCTTGCATTTACTACCACTGATTTAATCCTACCTGGCAACAGAAGCTGCACCTGCTGAAAATAATCTTGAATAAAACCAGATTAATTAAAAATAGGCTATGAAACTTTGGTGATCCAAACTTAATGTGAGCTAAAGCCATCTTATTTAACATTTTCTTTCTAATTCACTGGTCGTTCTCCCAAAGATTGTCTTTTCACCTCAAGACTTGGTGCGTATATCTGGTGAATTTGATCCTCTGTAGATAAGCATGTTGCAGTGAAGGCAGAGATAAGCTGAACTAAAGCAATTTTTTAAGCCAGAGATTAATCAGTTGGTTCTACCTCATTTTGCATGCAAAAAAGTAAGCCATTTATGTAGACTTTGGGTATGCACATATAAGGCACACCTGCCTTCCTGTGTAGGCTGACTCTGATCCTTTCTGAGAATTGGACAGGAGCTCTGAGAGCATTAAGACCACAAGGGGAGGGCAAGCTCGGCACTGACAGAGCAACTTAACTCGCATGGTAGTCCTAGACACAAAGCCTAATAGATTATCCTGTGTCTAGATGACAGAGCAATATAAACTGCAAGAGAACCCCCACGCCTAAACATGCAATTATGCTGGTTTACATTCTCGTTTGAAAAAAAGGCATGCTTGCACAACAACACAGCCAATATATTACTATACCAATATAAAACTGATCAAAAAGATCATTTTTAAAATAAAAATAAAAAAGCACATAAACAGTGTGGTTATACAACCTTGTTGAGTATAACCCTTCTATTGCTTATCATTATCAACGATGAGTCATTTTGGGGTTTCACTCTCTGTGAAATAATGCAGTCCTTTGATGTGGGAATCAAGCAGAGCGCAGACTTCTCAATATCACGAGTAATTAGTTTACACATTCACCTTGTAGGATAGGGAGGTCAAACTTTTAGAAATGTAGATCGTTTTGCGACTGCCTATTGAAGTTTTAACAGCTTTCAAAGATGAACTTTGTACCCTGATGCAAAAAAAGAAAAAGAGCATCAATGAATGTCTGGATTACTGAAATGACCTGTCAGCCAGAGAATTACTAATGCTCAGCAAAAGTTGCAGAGAAATCAAAGTTTTTTCAGCAATGGCCAATTCATAGCTGTCCTCAATCACGTTTCAGAGAAGCCAGAACTCATTTCATATGTAAGCCACAAAGCCAGTCACATACCGGATAGATGCTACTGTGGCTTAAGATATTTGTATGACACAGGATGGGAGTGTAACTGCAACGGCAGCATACAACACTTAAAACCCATCAGCATTAAATAGTACACATGCTGACAAGTACTTGGCTAAACTTTGACAGTTAAGCAGAGGAGACCTTTGAAGTCAAAATGTGTCACGTTTGCTTCGTACTATGCAGCAGTGCTACTCAAATCCATGCACCCTCTTGAGTCTAGACTTTAATGAGCTTTCCCTTTTGCAGCTTGTGGAGGACCTTGTGAAGGTTCACATTCCTGACTCTGTCCAAACTCATAAGACCTTAACCAGCTCACTGTGTGGTGCACTACAGGGGTGCTCCATGCCTCGGTAGGTATTTGGCCCTCAAACCCATAATCGAGGTCATAGAGCAGTACCTAGGGTTTTTGATATAGCACATATCATTTGAGGCACTACACGAAGTGGTCAAGGAATATGTCAGCTCCCATCTCTTCCACAACAGCTTTTTAGGAGACACTGCTGAGCTGTTTACTTCTGGGATATCTCTATTATGGATAAGGAAAGAAAACATGGTAGCCTTTAGCACTTACTTTAACACCGATTTAGACTGTGAAAACACACCGAAACGTGACTATAATAAAAAAAGGGCTTCATATGCATCAAAACGAAGTAAATCACATGCGCATATGAATTTGTTTTCGTCGGGTTGGATGCAGCGTATTCAGCTACAAGACTTGCTGTTAACGCTGCAGTGTGTTTGAAGCAAAGAAAGGGTTAAAACAAAAAGGCAACATTGTACAACGAACAACAGTAACGTTGTGCAGGCCAGGCCAACTTAGGCTACTTAGCTAGCTAGCAGTAGTCCATAGGTACTAACCTGCACACACATGACAAGCTAACTTGGCTACATTAGCTCAAGGTGCAGCCATTAGATGTTTTAGTGCAGTTAAGGTCACTTCATTTGGATAACAGTCATACTAATACACAAGCACTACAATCTAAAGGCTGGTGTTTGCAGACAGGCAGTAGCTTCCAACAAAAGAGTAGTTTCACTTTAAAAAAAAAAATCATAAACCGCCCAGGTTGGTGCTAGTTAGCTCAAAGCTAGCGTTAACGTCAATATTTAGCATTAACGTTACATTTAATTTCGATGCTGCACTCCGAAGGGAAAGTCTGACAGTTTTTGGACCCTCGTGAAGCTAAACGAAAAGCTGATGTCATGCTTTGTCATCAGTGTTTCTCTCTTGCTGTGGTGCAGTATGAAAAATGCCGCTTTCTCAACAAAACCCAGACTGCTCTACTGGTAAACCCACTCAACTCGACACTGTCATAAAGTCAGCGCTAGCCGGGCTCGCAGACTGCTCTCACCGTAGCTTCGGCCCCGCACTACCGGCGAACCACGGCTGCTGTTTCCGACAGCTGTCATGCGTGTCACACATGTAAGTGCTTAAAATCAACTAAAACAGCGATATTTTGTTGTCGGTTTGCTGGCTTACCTCCGTCAGGGCGACCTTCTTCTTGCGTTCGTGCAATCAGAGTTGCACAGATTCAGGGTTGCACACGCATTTCTCCCTCCCTCTCTCTCGCTCTCTTTTCATTCACGGATATGCATTTAGACGGGCCACTGCCACTGGTCTTTGTGTGCAAAATGTGGGCGCTTATTTGTTTATGTCCGCTATAGACTGCGGAGATATCTGCGCACCGGTGTCCTCAACCCCGCTACGTGGCCCGGCCAAGCTCTCGCGTGTACTACCGTCGTCCCGCGCTCATCCCAGGCATCCAGGCCGCTGTCTGGATGGGCGCGCGGCAGCTTGTCTGGTCTGGATTCTTTTCGTCTCCCCTCCAAAGCAGACAGGGCACGGCGCGCGCGCACGTGCTGAGCTTAAATCCTTGATTGATGAAATCATAATGAGAAGACCCCGATGGCCGTTTAATCCCTCCCAGAGGAAAAATTCTAAAACTACAATAAATGCAATCAGTTTTTATCACAGACTCTTAAACTTTAATATCTTTTCTATTTTAATTCGGTTTTTTTTTTGGTAAGTTGTTTTAATTGACTCAAGTCCTCCAGTTTATTTCCATGAAGACTCTCGGGAAAATGACTGAACTGCATATTTCTGCGATATTAAAACATTTTTAAAAAATGCATGGATGTATATAAAGAACACAGGAGAAAAAAAAAAGTGTCGAAACTATGTCTCATTCTAAAGAATCAAATTATCTTCAGTTTACTTTTGTCGATACAAAATAAATCTTCCCTTTAATTAAAAAACTACTATTCCTTCCAGTTTGAAACACTTTTTTTAGTATATAGTTTTTTTTTAAAATGGTGTACCTTTTATTTTCTTAAAGCAAGACAAAATAAATACCACCCCCACCCCAGTGACAGTTATGCCTGTGTAAAACATCTCTGTGCCTTGGCCAAAAAGACTGACAATTGAGTGGCAGAAAGGCGATTTAATAAGTCATTCTTTTCTGCAACACGGGGCTTAGATTTTTTTTCCATACAAACTGAAGATAGCAAAGAAAAGAATCAAGTACCATCCTGTACCACTTGCTAAGCATATTCCAATTGATTCGGAGTAACATCAGTGTGACAAAGGTATCTGAAAGAAGGCGGCAGACATTTAAAAAAATTAAAATAAAATTCTCTAGTAAGCCTGAATGACTGAAGCCAAATGAATAAACAATGTCAAGACACATACCTTGCAGTCATCAGAAAGATTGACAATTCATTTAGATTTCAAAACAGAAACAATTAGATGAAATTTCCAAGCACAACAGAAGAATGGCATTTACCATTCACATTTATTGTTTAAAGAAATCACATGTTTTCTTTGATGTACAAGTGACTGTTGCTTTCCACTCATTAAGTGATTTCACTTTGACATAACTTGAATCTTGACAGAATTTACTGCACTGACAATTCTCAAAACAGAGTACTATATATATTTTAGGTTATCACAGAGTAATAAACCCCTTCACTTCCTTACATAAAAGGACTTCATAAATTTAACCATCATAGGTCTCTCACTTTGTCTCCCACCATACTGCTATCAGCAGAGCCCAGTCCTGATTTGGTTAGAGAAATAGTGGGAGGAATGTGTGTGATGTTGGGAGAATCCTTTATTGAATCCTCCAACCACCACGTCCATGGCCTATGTAATGGCTGGAGACAGTGAGGGGAGGTGGTAGACATGGGTGTGACATTATCACTGGGGCAACTGAAGCAATGTGCCCTGTCCGGAGGGCAGGTAAGTGACATTGCGGGAGCGTGACAGCTGGAAGGCGATGTCTTCAGCGGCTTCCAGCTTACGGAGCTCTACCAGACCATCACCAGCCTCCATCAGAGAGTTGGCAATGAGTAAAGCAGCCTGAGAATCTCCCTCGGCTGAAATGATGGCTGCCTGCTTCTGTTGCTCTGCCTAAAATTATAAAATGAAAACGATAAAGCTGTATGCACAGTTTTAGAATGCGCTCATAGTACAGGGATTACATGCAATGTTAGAAGTACCTTTTCTACAACGAAACGGGCTCTCTCTGCCTCTTGCTGGGCCACCTGTTTCATCTCAACAGCCTCTGTGAATTCCTTGCCAAAGGTCAAGTGTGTCTGAAAGAACACAATACAGCAGGTTACTGCAGTTAAACACACAACCCAAGGATAGTATAGAACAATGCTGCATAATTTTCCATCGACTTCATACCAGTGAAACATCATCCAAGATTAGGCCGAAGGTGGAGGCTCTTTCTGTGAGGTCCTCACTGACCTGCCTGGACACAAGCTCTCTCTGAGTGATGAGCTCACTAGCATCAAACCTAGCCTGAGAGAGAGAGAGAAAGGCAGAGAGAAACATTAAGTGCTTTTTGACTCTGTTCATTATACATTCAGCCAATTTGTTTGGCCTTTAATGGATTGTTACTCACCACTACAGCCTTTAAGACCTCTGTGGTGATAGATGGCAGCACCCTCTCATCATAATCCTCACCAATACTGGTGAAGATGCGTGGCAGCTGGTTTGTCACCGGCCGGAAGAGGATACGCAACGTGATGTTAACGTTCTGCAGATCTGTAGGGTGAATGGTTCAGACCTTAATCACACTGTATACACTGGCCTACACATTAAAACAAGTGTTTGTGTTCACGGACTAAAATTTTCTGTGTAAAATACAAACAAACAAGTTCCTCCTTTGGGAATGTTTACACAGTTATCAAATCAAATGAGAGTTGTGGGTTCAAACATTCCTATTTTTCCACATTTTTAAATCAAACCTGTGACAGTTTAAATAACACAAAAGCAGCATTGCAATGAGTCATGTTACAGTAACCTCTGACACATTATAAGGGCAATAATATAGCTATCAGAATAGTTGGGGGGGCAACTGATTCAAATAAATAAGGTAGAACATGGCAGGAAGTTTAGTCTCCAGATTTAAATTCCCTCAGCTGTTTTGTTTCCAGGAAAAACCAATAATGCAGCGGCTGTGAACTTATATCATGGCAGACTTTCTTCATCAGGCTGTGTGTGTGCGCGCAACACTAGAAGGGGAGAGTGCATCATTTCACTTTTCTTCTGTACAAAATGTACAGAAGAAATGTAGTCAAGAGCAATGTTCGCTCTAAGCTGAGCACGTGAGCAATCGCGCACTGCTAACATGGTCTCCCCACACAGAAAATCTGCGCTGTGCACAAAAAAAAAAAAAAAATCCAGCCTGAATTGGAATGAAAGTAAATACATGTATTTATTTTATTTCGCTGATTTTCTGTGCGCGTAGACTGTGTCAGCAGTGCACGATTGCTCACGCGCTCAGCTTAGAGGGAACAGTGGTCAAGAGGCGTATGTGACATTAAGCTATAAATGCTTTTTTAAGGCTACAGCTAAGAACTAGAATGATTGTAGTCATGAATTCACCAAATAAATAAACTTAACATTGCCATTTAATTCTGTACATTCAGAAAGTCCATTTAGGCCATTTAAGCAAATCAAGGCCAAGTAGAAAACACTTAAGTTCTTGACCAAATCAAATGAAAGAGACTTTGCCATAAATCAGGACAAAGTATAAAAAAAAAACATTTATAAAGCCCTATAACCACATACCTTGTGAAAACAGTCACCAACTTAACCAAACAAGTGTGCAACAAACAATTGATGATAGATTTAAAAAGTAGGTCAACCCCAAGTGTGACGTCGAATAATAGATCTCAAAACCATCATGATCTCAAAACTTAAATAACCATGGTTTGTGAGAATGCAAACAATACTGACAGGTGGTCAAAGTATTCATCACTTTGTAATGCCCTTTAGAGACTTTTGAATTCTTAATGGAAAGCCCCCACGGCTATTCTTATTTTACCATATGAATATTTTTTTTCTTTCTTTCTGTTGGTGGTTCTTCTTTCTTTCTTTCTTCTTTTTTTTTTAACTGCATTTACATTAGAATGCAACACAACACACACAACTGTAACAATGGGTTTTCTTTGTTCATATTACTAAGACACAGCTCAAGAGGTTTGTGTATGAACATATTTGCTCAGTTAAGACTCTTTATTGCTCTTACAAAATATAACTTCAGCTAGAACAAACTGATGATAATGTCTTTTAGAACATTTTAGATCTCAGTGCAGAGTTGCCATGGCATTCTAGCCAGTTAAAAATTGAGCCATCAGACAGAACTTGCTAACCCATTAATTCCACTTCACAGCATTCTGGGTTGAAATCAAAACAACTTGTAAGAGCAAAGCACGCAGTTCTAGGGAAAAATCTGGCTACACTGCCACTGTAGAAGGAATGGCAAGATTCATCTGAAGAGTGTCTCAAATTTAGAATATGGCACTCCATGATTTTTTAATTTATTATTATTTTTTAATTCTAAATGTTTTTGTTACTGTTGTACACTTTATTTCAGCATACACCGAGTTATATAAATTTCAGTAACAACTGGAAAATTTAAGTGTTCAAAAACATCTGACATACCCTCTACATGTCTTTTAAGGTTAGAAAAACTAAACATTTAAGAGTGGCTAATTCAAGTCTTCACCACACCACAAAGCTAAGCCTTCTTAGTTTGACAGACACTGAATTTGCAGAAACTAAAGTTCCTTGGAGTGCTTGCATACCTTTGCTGCCTGTGATAACAGGCACATTGCGTGGACGGGAGCGGCAATCAAAGATGACAGGTTTCTGAACCCAGGGGATGAGGAAGTGGGTTCCCTCACCAACAACAACATCTTGAACACCTCGAAACCTGTCAAAGATCACAGCCCGGTGACCTGCATCAACTGCAACGAGGAGGACAGAGAATCACATATAGAAAAAATTGTTTAACATGAAAAATTTATTTTTTAATTTTATTTTTATTAAGAGATAAGATAGAACTTTATTAATCCCTCGGGTGGATTCCTCTGGGAAATTCTGTTTCCAAATAGCACAGCACCAACAGAAGTTACAGAACGTGAGCAGAACACCATATATACACATATATAAATACAGAGACATATATAAATAAAGAGTATACAAAAGGGATAAATAGAATAAATAGGAATAAATTCAAGATCACAGTTTTTCTCGTTTATGATCTGGAATGCTAATGAATTCATCAGCTTAACCAATCAAAGGCAACTAATATAGGTGCTACACAGAGTAGACCAAAGGCATCCTAAATTAGCAAAAGAGGTTAAGTGTAACCCTAAGTGTAATACCAAAATCTCACTTCAGAATAACACATGTTCGTAAAACTAAAACAACTGCTTTTCTCATCTGCATGCAACACTATCAGGTAGCTAGCTATTCATTAGCTTTTGCTGCCTTCCCAAACCTCTTGAATTCTTTCGGAAATGTGGTTTATACAAAATATATATTTTTACCAAATTAATAATTTTTATGCTTGATGACTGAGCATGTTTTCCTATACATGTAGAATTCCATTAGACCATGGAAATTTCTAGGACTCACCGTTGAAAAGGGCTGAGTTCACGACACCTCCACCGATGGCGAGGGCAAGCCCCAACTTCCCAATGGACTCAAATAACTTGGCCATGACAGCAACCTGGTGACAATGAAAACACTTTGAATGTCTTTCTACACATCTCCACCTCTACACCTACGCAATGCACCATAATCCTGTGACGGACCTTGGAAATCCAGGCTAAATCCCCTCTTTCAAATAACAGTTGGCTTTGGCCTTGAGCTGGACTGACACCAAGGCTGTGGTTGTTAGCTAATTTGGCTAACTAGCTAGCATTAGCTTATCTACTAACTGAACTGAGACATCTTGCAAGCACATATAACTAAACAGAGCACCGCAGCTTAGATTTAAGGCCGATGCAATACTACAGATAAGACAATAAGATACGTAAAACGATTAAAAAGCGTGCGACAGGTAAGTCCAAGTTGCACGCCGGGTGACTGCACGCATGTTATCCCACGCTGATACAAAGTGGTCGCTCGTGTTCGTTTAATCTTGTAACACTACCCGTCTTGTAAATAGCACATAAAACGTCTCTCCGTTTCACTTCCAATGGCTAATACAATGACATTTCGATAAACAGTTAAGTAATTTTACTGTCACACACATAACGTATGTCATAACTTACCTCACTTTGCTCGGATGTCTGTGACCTCCACCGGACACGACGTACAGCACATGAAATATCTGCTACACAGCGCCTGCGCACTGGATGAAGCAACAAAGCATCTGATTGGACGTAACAAAACAGTCTTCTTCTTCTATGACTTAGTCAGTATTCAAACTAATTACTGCCACCTACTGACTGCGGCTCGCCTAAATATAATTAAAACACATTATTATCATCCCCTTTTGGCTTATACTGATTAAAATGTAGAAAACAGAACACATATTGCTACATTGTTTCAGTTTTTTACAATGAGTCAACAGCAAAATAAAAAAACTACTTTTTCTATGAATTAACAAGAACTTTCAGTTTTATAATTACTTGAAAATCTGGACAGTGGGTTACCAGAACCTTTCCTGTATTTTTATACATTAATTAATTTATTTATTTTCACAAATTAAGCCCAAAAAATCGTGCTGACAGATTGAGATGGATTGAGATGGCAGTAGCCACCCCTAAAAAAGGCAGATGAAAGAAGAAACAAATAAACAAACAAACAAACAAACAAACAAACAAACAAATACTACTACTACTACTACTAATATTAATCATAATAATAACCACGTATAAAGGAACAGTTTGGGAATTTGTATGATACAGATAATAGACCTGTCGGGCACCCGCAAACTTCTGCACGCACCGACTCACATGACACTTTGTCGCCCCCTAGCGCGGGGAAGAAAAATCGCACAACCGGTAGTTTCACTTTTCTTCCATTGCTCGTAAAGAGTGACGATCTTTGAAAGAAAGCAAGAAACGGTCGTGGAAGCGTTTTAAGGTCAGTGATGATTGCAAATCTGAAAGATATCCAAAGAATGCGACACACCGTAACTGCCTCGGGCGCAAATAGAAGATCTGTCGATATGCGCTAAGAAGATTGGCAGTCGAGATGTTTTTGATTTTCTCTACTTCCTTGACAGTCGTCTGGCTGCAGTGTGGCTTTTCTTAACGCTCGCAGATGTGTTTTCACATCGTGTAGACACGAGCACGCAAAAGCGCTTCATTTTCGCAAGTTGGCTGAATTAATTTTTTTTATTAATTTGATCAGATTTATTTGACAATTAGCACAGATGTTGGCAACTTTGAATCCAGTAACATCTGCCGTGCATTACAAGCAACATCTGGTTTAAAAAGGCATTTTAGAGCAGCTTATTATTTGTCAGTTAGTTACAGACTAGTCGTGGGAAGCAGGAAGAAGGGGAGTAAGGGGCGTTAACCTCACTGGTACAATTTTACACACGAAATTTACACTCCTGTTGATATTGGACAAACATGTACGCAATACACGAAGTCTACGCGTTTTCTAGTCTTTCGTTTCCACATAGCAGTCTGGATATCTCAGTAGTTTTGACATTACAATGATATATTTTTTTGGTGTTAGCCTGCTGTTGCTTCAAATAACCAGCTGCAAAGTGTCTAGACATTTTTTTCCTACAATTTAATGAAAAATATTCTCTGTTGATGGAAACTGGGGATAGTTTTCTGTGTTGATGTACTTTCCTGGTAACCCCCAACAGAGGGAGTTGGACTATCAAATATGTTTCAATTCCTATTCACAGTTGTGGGGTCTTTCACTGAGAGATGTCATGTTCTAAATTTTAGCCATCATCATTTTGATTTTCATGTTCACCATTAATGCAAAAAGAAAACATTTTAGTGTTTAGCCTTGCATTCAGCTTCAAGAGTTTTCCTTCTCACAGCAACAGTGATTGTGTTTCTTCCAGCAGATGGCAGAACCAGGCAGGACTGTGAAGGTGTGTGGACTGCCCACAGACATCGAAGATAACACACTGAAAGACAAGCTATTGATTTACTTCCTTAGAAAAAGAAATGGAGGAGGGGAAGTAGACTCTGTCACCTTCCTCAAGGCAACGCCTCTGGCTGCTCTCATCACCTTCGAGGACAGCGGAGGTCAGTAGGTTCAGTGTATGTTCACGTCTCCTCATCTGCTGTGTAGATCAGAGGGATTACTGTCTGAATAACTAAATGTTCTGTGTCAGTGGTCTTTCATTGCAAAAATACTGTTCATTAATCAGAATCAGAATACTTTATTAATCCCGAAGGAAAATAGGGCAGATTAGTTACATATTATACTGACTGTATTAACACAACTGTAAACCAACCAAAGATGGCATTCATTTACAAAGTAATAGAAAGGTACTACGATGTCTGCTGCCACCAGTGATTTACACTAAACTGGAATGTTGGCATTGAAGTCAATGGAGTGGCCAGTTGTAGAAACACTTAGTCAGGATGCTTCACAGACTGTGATTGATTTCTCTCTGATGACCCCTCTCGCACAGTGGCACAGAGAGTTATTCACCACAGGCTACACGTTCTGGATGTGGATGGGAAGAAGTATAAGCTCACGGTAACTGAGCATTGTGAAGATTTCGACCCAGATCAGGTAGATTTAGCTGCTGCACAATTTCAACAGATACAGTGTAAAATTATTAGTAATTAATTTGTTTCTCTCTTTTCTTTTTCTCAACATCATAGGTCGTCTTAAGCTTATCAGCAACAATTGACTACAGCAAGCTTCCAGGGGGAATCATGGCATTGACAAGCCTTCTTCAGAGCCACCACGATGTCCAGATCAACTATACTGCTACTGAGAAATGCTCTACAATATTTGGCTCTTACTCCACAGTGCAGGCAGCTTTGGCACAACTACTGGGTCATCCTGGAGGCTCAAACTCAGCAGAAAACTCAAAAGACTTGAGTCAGCCTACTTCCAGTGGTTTCCGGTCTGTTCAAAAAGCACAGAAGCATTATACACAGGAGTCAGAAGATCAGAGCAGAAAAGCCAACAAGCAAAGAGACAAAGAAAAAAATCACATTGACAGGCCAACTGACAACTACAGTTTAAGTTCAGAAAGAGACCTGACACCTGGTGGTTATACCTGGGAGGACACTGGTCAGGCAGATGGAGCTGCTTTGCAGCATTCTACAACCTCGGCGGATGATTTCTCACTAATTATGGATGGAGACATGTTTCAGTACCTACAGAAACACTGCCGGAAGGAATACCAGCATATCCTGAAGCAGTATGGGGTTGAAGTGGTGGATGTAACAAGTCAGGGTTTGACCACTCTGTTTCTGCATGTTACAGCAGCAGATGGGGAGGATGGTCTAGAGGAGGAGCGCTTGAAGGTAGCCAGAAAGGCTATAAGTCAGCTTCATGAGGACATTGAGGCCAAAATCCGTCGATCCCAGCTGCCCAAAGCTATCCTGCACCCCAGTGGAGGCCTGCAAAGGGCAATTGAGAACTTAAGTGTCAGACTTCCCAAACTTATTCTGAATGAAGATGAAAAAAATATTTATATTATTGGAAGCAGTAGTGATGTGTCAGAGGCCAAGCAGTTTCTTCTCCTGGACAATGTTAACCAGCGAGATAAAAAGGAAGATGTAGCTAGTCTCCTGAGATTTCCCTCATATGGTTCAAGTTTATACCCTCAGACTGATGAGGAGAGATTCACTCTCCCCACACCCTCCACTGTAGCATCGGTGGATGATAAGCTAGATGAGATGCTGAAGTCAGAGGAAGATGAACGAAGAGCTGAAGGAGCCAGAAGGTATAAACTAGCTGCTCGGTTTAAGGATTCTGGGCTAGCTGCGTTAAGCAGTCGACCAGCTGACTTCACTTTACGAACAAACTCATCTCCCAGCAGACAAACACGCCAAGGGCCAATGTTAGGGTATGATGTACTCTCAGAAACAGCAGGGACTTCTGGTGAGGCAGTTTCTAGAGCAGTACCCCAAAACACAGGAGGAGACATTTTGTTCAAGACTGGATCTAGTTTGGCATCTTCCTCGCTTCAAAATAGAACCTCTTTGAATCCAGATTTAACAGATGCTCGACCTAAGAATTCATCATCCCCTTTTAGTGGTACACAGTCCAGTTTGTCAGGAAGTCCTGCACCTCAGTCTGCTGGATCCAGATCCACCTTGAAGCGTGCCAGTAGTTTCTCAGGAACGCCTCAGCAGAAGGCTCAAGTTATGAGTCAGAAGAGTCAAGAAGATAGCAGCAAGTCCACAGTCAGAGCCAGGGGCAGGTCTTCTAGCTTCAGTACCCAAACAGGAAGGGACAAGCAGGAAGTCTATACTGCAGATCTTACAGTATCCAGGATAATGTGGAAACATATAAAAGAATCATACAGCTACCGAGTGGAAGATCTAGCTTCTGATGTCCAGTTAAAAGAGAGCAGCTTAGGTAGTCATGAGCTGACTGTTACCATAAGAGGAGCAAACTCATCCAAAGTGACTTCATGTCATCTAGGTTTGCAGAAGCTGGTTGACTCAGTTAGTTCAGACTTCTCTGTGCAGGAGGTGTCCTTGTCTGAACTGGGTATCACTGACAAAGCAGATGAAACCTTACAAGCTTGTTGCTCTGAAGTGCGGAGCCGCTTTAAGAAGGTTACTATCGAGATATTAGCCAAGAGCTTATATCTTCTTGGTCCACGGCAGTTGTGTTCCCAGGTAGGTGCTACCCTGCGGGAAGTATTTTCTGGAGACTCGGCTCAAATACCTGACAAATACCAATATTCCCCAACTTCTTTTCAAATGAATGAAGATAAAAGCACTAGCTTGCACTTTAACAGTAACTCTCAGGTGATTAGAGAGAGCCAACCAGGCAATGCTGATGGTACAAGTAGGAGTCGGGAATGGAGGACAACCTACAGAAGTGACTTTGGTGGGAGGGAGATTGTGAGTGGATCTATTGGTCTGGCAAGGCAAGATCATGTCATTAAGGAGAAAGTCAAGCCTATAGATCCAATGGAGATGGATGGACAGAAGGCTAAGTCATTTGTCAGTCAGTCTACACCAGGAAATGATAGTGTGAGGGGTCTGAATGGTGTCGGATCAACATTAACCCGCACTGAGAAAGGGACCACCTTACCTGCTACGCAGATAGGCAGTGGTCAAGAAGAAGCAGAGATCCAGAACACCCCAGGGGAAGCCAAACCAGGCCAGGAGAGGCTGGGGAACATCTGTGTTTGTGGAGAAACTGGGATATCTGTGCAGAGAACAAAATGTGGAGCCACTTTTTGCTCAAAGTGCTTGGACACGGTACATGTCCGCTGCAGAGTTTGTCATGAGACGGAGCAGAAACCTCGGGGCATCCTGGGCAAAATTGTAAAATCTAAACTAAACATCACTTTGGCAGGTTACAACAAGTTCTGTACTATCAAGATCACTTACAGCATTCCTGATGGTATCCAAGCGGTGAGTGGCTTAAAAACATTTCTCGCTGATATTTTGTTGTGCTTTATCTGAATGAGAAATTACATTGGCGCACCTTCTAAGCTTTCACTTCAGAGACTACAAATGAGACAGAATAAGAAAGGCTGCTCAGTTAGGACCTTTTCTTAAATCAGTTTAAATAGTTCAATTCTGTACAGAGCCCTTGTTACACATCAGGTGTGTGCAGACATATTAAAGCTCTGCGTTATGATTTCTCTAATTTTAAGTATTAGTTTGTCTTTTACCTGTGTTTTAGTTGACTCCTACAGGGTGTCAAGAAAGAATTAGCTAAACTTCAGAGACATATTCTGATTCACATTGTTGCTATGAGTTCATATATGTGTGTTTCCTGATCGGCTGAGATCTGCAGATATCAGCCAGTATTCATTATTTTGTTGTTAAAATAAAATAGGCTGCAGTAACAATTCTGACCTTCTCCTGCAAAATAGCATGCAGCTATAGGCTGCCTTTCAGCTTATACACTGCAATACCGAGACCTTGTTCATGACTGCGCTCTTTGTGTTGCGTTTTATCAGGATGGGCATCCATCTCCTGGAAAACCATTTAAGGGAGGGCTATTTGAAGCCTACTTTCCAGACTGTCAGCCGACAAAGAAGCTGCTGCCCAGGCTGGAGAAAGCCTTCAGGCAGGGACTCACCTTCACAGTGACAGGCAAAGGGACAGATGCAAGGGTGACCTGGGACGGCATCCCACACAAGACCAGCTTACAGGGAGGCAAATCAGGGTGAGTGAGGCCAGCGAGGATGTCTGAGAGAGCTGCAGAATTAAAGGTCATAGTCAGTCCATGGACCTGACCTGAACAATGTTCTCTTTGTCTCTCTCAGGAATGGGTACCCAGATTCCACTTACTTGACGCGCTTGTCTGAGGTCTTGACCTCCCTTGGAATTGAGGAATCAACAGAAAAGCCCCATGATTAAAACATGTAAAAATGTATTTCTTCCTTGTTTTATATATAAAAATAGCAGTATATTGGCGATCTATGTGTTTACAGCACTGTTTTGCGGTTTTGATTAGTTGACAATCACACTTTGTTATAGTGAGATGTTGATATCTGATCATCCTTTAATTGTAGTCTCTTTTAAATAATGGAGTCATTGAAGACTGAATTTTAATTTTGTAACGTCCTTTACCAATTTTCTTTTAACAAGTTGTTCAAGAGTGAAGGGCTTATAGTATTTCACATGACAATTTTTTTAAAATACCGTTTCAGGTTATTTTGCAGAACAAATGAATATTAAAGTCTTCAATATGCACAGTACTGTATAGACCAAATAATTTGCACCGCACTGTGTGATTGTAGTCATCATTTAGTTTAGGAACAACAGACAGTAATTTGTAAAAATATTCTGAATTTAATAAATTAATTGTCAAAAATCTGTCTTTGCTTCTGGGCACAGAAATAAAAAAAGCACATTTCCTGTCTTTTTTTTATTATGCTTTTTTTTATTAGTCCTGGAAAACATGTAAGGCATATGGTAACATTACACACTGAAGCGTTACAAGCTCTAAAGGCCATGTGGAGAACATGGCACCACGCAGTAAACCCAGAGTCAAGCACAGAAGCAGCATCAATTCAAAGGGTTTAAAAAACAAAGTTGAGACGAGAAAGTGTGTTTGCAACCATTTAAAAACAAAGAAGGGAAAAAAAAAAAGAAGAAGAAAGGACAGAGTTTCTGTCCTTTCTTGTCCAAAACAAGACAAGAAAGGACAGAGTATAGGAAATATAGAAATCAACCTGTTGGGTATGCCTTGTAGAAAGTTACCAGCGGTCACTGATAGGTGTGTAGTAGGATGGATGTGAAGTGGGTTTCTGAAGCATTCCCAGAGATAGGTTAAGATGTCTTGTAAATGTACCAGCTTGCCATGGAGGTTCCCATGCTGAAGGGTCTCAGGTGACGCAGGGGGGCAGCAGGCTGGCATTCTCCTCTCTCACACACACCACACAACTACATGACTACTAAACTAATGTGAAAGACACAGAACGGTACATACACACATGCCTTATTTTGTTGTTGTTGTTGTTGACTAAACATGCATTCTAGTACTGTACATGACACGCCCAGTCAGGTTGTACTTCCTTAGCATCTCTGCAATGCAGCTGCATTGCAATATCTCAAAAACGACTGCTAAGGATAATAGCTGCAGGCAGATGTGGTCGTTTGAGTTCGTAGTGTAGCGAACACAGTGGCTCTGAATGTGGAACTAAACCACTTTCATCCTCCCTTTTTTGACTTAGAACACTAAAGCTTACTTAAAATGTGAGTACTGTGAAGGAAAATTGGTGTGACAGTTTGTGCAGTTAACTCAGTGAAACAATGATGTGTGTGTTAGTAAATTGAGATTTAAGTGGGTTCCTACATAGGGAAAACTGCTGTTTGGAATGACCTGAGAAACCATATAGAAGAAATAAATCACCACAAAGCAAACGGCGGGTGGCTGTGAGGGACTACAGCTTCAAGCCAAGACGGATAGAAAAGTAGCTGCTGGAAATACAACACTCACTGTACTCACTTTCTTTAGATCTAAAACTATGAGTGACAGTATAATCAAATCTAAAATGTTCAAAAAAAACAAAACACTTTAATTTTTTTGGAAAACTTTGAAATACTTTTTTTTTTGTTTTGTTCCTCCCTTGCATCTCTGAGTTGTTAAGTACTCTTGCATAAGTGTCTGGAATGACTGGGAAACCATTTCAAGATGAGATTACAATTCAGCTTCACCACGGTGGAAAAGCTCTCAGGCTGCAGGCCACAGTAGGAAGGGGTGGGTTTTACTTTAACCGACGGATCCACTTGAACCCGAATTCAAGACGCAAAACACCCACCCTGCTGATTGAGTTCATGTCAAAGGCATCTCAGTTCAAAAGTACCCCGGGGAAAATATTGAAAGAAAAAAAGAAAAGAAAAGGGATTTTAATCGGTTTTCCACATGCAGATGAATGCATGCAATTTCAAATTCCAGATGTCAAAGTAATGCTCTATTTTCTTTGAATGTGTATGCAGAAGGAAGAGGCTGATATGGAGAGGAGTTTTTGGCTGGCTGCTGGACTGCAACTGTTGCACCGGCCAAGAGGTTTTGCAGATGCAGCACAGGAAAAGAGGAATGACTCTTAATAATCCTTGAGTGAACTGAGATCAACTGCAAAGCGGAAATGTTGTGTCTGGGGCAGGCCAGAACTGAGCTATGATTAGCCAATAAGCAGAGGCTGTGCTCAGCTGTGTTACAGTACTGGCTTCCCTGCACAGCTGTGTAAAAAACATCTGGTCCCTCACTTGTTATACAAACCATTTTGGAAACAAACTGAAAGAAAAGAAATCCATAGAGAGGAATAGCACAGAGCTTTGGAGCTGGGGGAAATTTGCAGATTTACGACCATCTTTTGGTGCGGTGGAGTTTTGAGTCTTAAATCCACCATGTTTTGTTCCTCTTCACTGTAATACTGATGTTATAACTGTAAACCAACAGAGGGAATCATCCTATTGGGGCTGATATGATGTGAGACCTGGTAAAACACAGCGAAAAGCATTTACTAAATACATCTCAGATTGAGGTAAGGAGAGAGGCACAATGCAGGCCTATGCTTCAGCAAGACTACAACCAATCACCAAATACAGATTGTGTTAAACCTTTTATAAACTGCAGCAAAATTCTGTCAGCACCTGTGAGCATTTTGGGATAGAAATCTGACACAATGTGACAACTTGTGTGAATTTTTCTTTTTTTTTCTCTTTTCTTCAAGGTTGACGGAAATGCATCCAACAACAGAATTTTCTTCATATTTTTTTTATGCACTGTTAATATTCAAAGCATGGACAGAGGAATATACATACAATTTGGCACACATGGTTTAAACCAACAGAAAGACTTCATCACATTTAAAGAGGAGTGCAGGTTGGCAAGTCCCCACATAAGAGTATGAGCTTTGAACTTTAAACCCTTGGATAACAAAAAACAAACAAACGAACAAAAATATAAAGGTAAATCAAAATAACATAGTAAGTAAAACATCTTTTTTTTTTTTTTCTCATTTCAAAACTGAAGCGTTTGTTTCTCACATGGCACTCGGAACAGAAGCACCGTCCACAGGTTCACAAAGGGAGCCCAGCAGATTAGAACAGAACACTAACCAGAGGCTGACAGGACACAATCACTCCCCACACCAGCGTGCCAGTCGCACTCCAGCCCACGTCGATCGGACCTGCTCCACGTTTTACTTCCCACAGTCAAGGATGGATGAATGCTTTGATTTTAGCTGCCACCCAGGAGAAGTTGGCAAGCTGAAAATGAGGGGACTTTTGCATGAGTTTGTGTGTTTCTGTGTGTGTGTGTGTGCCACCTGTGCTTTCAGTGAGCTTTAGCAGATACAGTGGGAGCGCATGATGGGAAATGGGCTGCAAACCTGGAGCAAAATCAAAGCCTGTGCTGGACTGGAGTGAGACCGCCATGCTTGCAAGTGCATTAAGATCAGCGAGCAGAGTGCAAAATACTAATACCAACTGTCCTCATAATACAGGCCTCTTATCAGACAGGAGGGAGAGATAGAGTAAGATGTGTTGGTTGGTTGGTTTCAGAGCTACATCGTACTGTAGCAGAGTAGTGTAAGGAGGGAACGTCTGGTAGGAGTTGGGGGGGGGGGGTGCTTTTAAAACCTGACAAATGACCTGAGGACACACGCACATCTTCACACATAATGGCACACCACACACAGCACATGAGGGAGGCCACTCATGCTAACACAACAACTTTTTTTCGGAAACATTTTTTTGTTTTTTTTGTTTTTTACAAAGTCACTAGTCACCATCTGAGTCTCGACACAGAGGCCAGACTCACAGACAGGCAGTGAGGCGGGCAGGTGGATAAATAGTCAAGGTTTAAAGTTGATTGACTCAGACGTGAAGGATTTGGTGCAATGAAATATGAAGGACTGGCCTTGAAGGGATAATTCACTCTCCAAAAAAATGAAAAGAAACAAATGTCTTTTCTCTGACCCGTAGTGCCACTTTTCTATTTAGATGGTCTCAGTGCCCAGTTTTCAAGAGACCGGCTGTAAAGGTGTCTAACTTCTCTTGAACACAGTGAAACTATATGGCACTTGCCTCAGGTGCTCAAATGAAATGCATCTGAACAGCTCAGCAGCAGTATCTTTTTCCAGGAATCATGGCCCAGTTATGCAAACAAATCCACAAAACTTGAGAACAGCTTCATTGAGGAACTTTTTCTCCTTTTACCCAACTACGCCTACCGACTAAAAGAAGAGTGCAGCTGGCTGTGCAAAGTAGGAAGCTATTAATCTAACCACTTGGTTGTGAGCATGAGCTTCTTGTCATGGGCAGATTCACTCTTCCTTTTGCACAGTGTCATGTGTAGTTTGAGGAAAACAGTTTGACCACCTTAAAGCAAGTGCTGTCCAATTTCATCATATTCAAGAGGAGGCAGACATCGCTCTCTCTATATAGAGTCTTAAAGGCCTAAGCCTTCAGCTCCTCAATCTCAATACATTTTACACCTGTTGAAGTACGTGTCGACAGCACCAACTGTTGGCAAATGTAGACTAAGAAAGCAGAAAGGAGAGACTCTGGGAGAGGGGGAGAAACAAACCACAGTGCCATCTCTGACGAGCCTGACGCCTGTTGCTATGCCGACCATAGAGAGGGAAGTGGCAAGAGGAGGGAGAGAGAGAGAGCGAGAGAGCGAGAGAGAGAGAGAGAGCGAGAGAGCGAGAGAGAGAGAGAGAGAGAGAGAGCGAGAGAGAGAGAGAGAGAGAGACAGACAAAGTATGTGCGGCAGCTTGAAGTGAATTCTCCTCTCTCAGGTCAGAATGATCGACAGGCGAGTGGTCGCTGTGAAAGGAGCCATGGAATTCCTCAAGGAGGAGTGAGGAGGAAGAAAGCCTTATCCAGAGTGAACTAAAAACTAAACTGGTATTCACCTTCTTAACTTGCTCATTTCAGACGATTCGCTATCTCAACATGACAGTGCTTCATTCATCACACTATGTTTGTGTGTGTACTTGTTTAAACAGAAACAAATTCTCCCTTAATTGGCACTGTGCACTTCTTGCCAACAGTTGGTCAGCTAGAAAAATCTGTAACTAAGGAGAAGGAAGCTGAGCAATGATTTCTGCCTCTCTATTCAACGTTGGACTGAAAGGCTCATTATGAGGCAAATTCATATTCAGGCTAGTGCAAAACTGCAGATTCTATATTAGCTTCACTTAATTTGGTGGGAACGAATGCACTGTTAAGAGGTTTCGCCTTGCTTTATATGAACACCGATACAAGCTTCAAGCTAAGTCCACATAAATGACAACCAGGGTTAGGTCTTGCAGTATTAACACTATTGTCTGAGCCATAAAACATCATGATAAAAGCCATGATGCAAATATCTCCAGAGGAGGTGCACCAGCCAATCACAGGCATCTCTGACTCATCCTTGGTGACATAACTAAGCGTTGGACACTGAGAGCAAAGTGTGGGTGGGTGTGGTTCTCTCATTTTACTGCCCGTCTTTGTGCCTGTCTGTGGGTCCGGCCTGAGGGTGGGTGGGCAGGGGCGGTGGTGTGGGAGGTGTGTGTGTGGAGTGGGGGCAGGGTGGGGACTCAGCACAGTGAGGGGATGGGGAAGCAGAGGTGGCAGGTGGAAGTCAGAGCAGAACAATTTAGCACAGTGGGAGTTGAGGTGCAGAGGGGCACGGGGTCGAGGGTGGGGCCGGCGTGAGAGTGGGGATCATTGTTGTCAGGGAAACAGTAATTTGCCCCAGGCCTGGACCGTACCCACAATCCTCCATGTTCCTTCTGTCTCTGCCATTATTGTTATGGTTTTTTTTTGTTCCGTTTTTTTTTTGTTTTGTTTTTTTGGCCGTTTCCGCTCAATGTCAGAGAGGAAGATAGGTTCGGAGCTTCGATGTGATCAGAATCTTTAAGACATAAATGCAAGAAAAGGAAGGGAGGGGGAGGTGGGTGGAGCCAGGTCTGAGTAATCGCTGTCATTGTGGACCCAAAAGGTGATGGAGAGGGGATGTGAAAGACTGACAATGCTGTGATCATTTTCTAATCCATCCTTCTAACCCATTCCCATTCTTACTTCCCCCCCAACCCCACCCCATCCATCTAAATTGCCAAATCCATCCCCACAATCCCACACCACACCCGAGATCCCAAGACACAAACTCCCTGCTGGTCTGCTTGACTATCCATCCACTCAACCCTCTCACTTCTCCTCCTTCTTGGGTTCTTCCTTCTTCTCCTCTTCCTTCTTCTCCTCCTTCTTGGGCTCCTCCTTCTTCTTGTCATCCTTCTTGTCATCCTTCTTGTCATCCTTCTTCTCCTCCTTCTTCTCCTCCTTCTTGGCATCGTCCTTCTTCTTGTCATCCTTCTTCTTATCCTCTTTCTTCTTATCCTCTTTCTTATCCTCCTTCTTGGTCTCCTCCTTCTTCTCTTCCTCGGGCATCGGCTCTGTAGTGAGGATCACTTTGCCAATGTTGTTCCTTTCCTGCATCTTTCTCATGGCATCACCCACCTGGAGGAGAGAGGGAGAAGCTGATTATTTAAGGCGAGATGAAAGAGCAAATAGCGAAAAGGAGCAAAGGGAAGCTTTTAAACAGTTCTCTTTGAGACAGAAGAAGCTAGTATCATCCCTCCAAAAACATTTCCACAGCAATATGTGTTTCTTTACATTATCTGCCTCCAATTTCCCTTCTTGACACCACAGCCTGGAAACAAATATTGCAAGCTTGCTCTTCAAATATGACTTTAATATGCAGTATATGAGAAATTATATTTGTTTAGATGAGACTTTAATAATCTTTGAGGGGAAATTAGATTGTTGCAGCAGTACACAGCAAATAAGAAGTGGTAACAGGATAACGGAGCAAATGGAGGGAATAATGAACACTTCAAACATGCATTATTTAATATTAGTGTGTCTTAAATATAAAAATAGTGAATGTTTTAATGATGGGCCAACTAAAATCAAAATCACTTTTTGCTTCATTTTATCAAATTCACCCATTCTATCAAATAACAGACATCCCCCCACAATATTAAGATGTTTTAATCACTACGCATTAGGAAGGAAGTAACAGATTTCCTCAAGAAGACGGAGTGTTGATTACATGGAAGTAAGTAGTCTGTGTTTAAAGCAAAAGAGGGAATACTTTGCTGAAATGCAAACTTGAAGCCACTGGCTTTCAACTGATGACAACTTAGGTATTGCTTTTTAAAATGTAATCTACATTTATAAACATTCATCAGCTTCATAATAGCTGATGGCTCTACTACAGCTCAGCTTGGAAATATTGTGCAAGGAAACTTTCCACTAAAAATACATTTTGCAGTAAAACTTTCAAAGTATTGTGTAATTCAGATTGCTGAAGCGTTAAGCCTAAACTTAAGAACTGATTTTCTTTCCTAAGACCAAGGATTGAGGATTTTATGCTCCATCACTTCAAGTAAAATTGCTTTTAAGAAGAGATTTCTTTGCTGGCTAGAATGAACAGGATTATAGTGACCAAAAAATGTGGTACTGTAGAATTTGGCATGTCATTCTTATTGAAAGGTTGGCCTGGAAAAATGTTACACCGTCCTATTGAGGTGCTTATTGGGTTAAAATGATTAGAAAAAAGAAGTATGAAGTGGCAAATCTGATATTTATGAGATTTTCTTTCCAAAAACTAAATATTTCACGTTGGGGACAGATGAGATTACAACCCCCAGGCTCCCCTTTCCATATTGATGGATGGGTGATGTTGGTCCTACTGCTCCTTCATCATAATGATGAGTGGAGAATCCCAGCCAGACTGGCCCCACCCTCCTCTTGACCACTGGGCTCTGTCCACTGTCTGTTCCCGTCTCCATCACATCTCCCTCCCTCCTTCCTCAAATCTCGCTATTTGCGCGAGGCAGGCAGACCACCTAACGACCAATGCCACGGCAACAGGGCCATCTCCTAGCAACGTAAAGCCTGGCTGAAACGTGGCCCTGACGACTTAGACACATGGGAAAGGGAGAGGAGGAGGCGGAGGGAGCAACTGGTATCCCACAAATGAAGAACAGGCAATGAAAGAAAGGGAGGGGTGAGTCCAGGAATTATAAGAATCATCTTCGATGTGAATGAAAGTCACAGACTGCCTCCTTTTAACGACTCCACCGACTTCTAGGCTTCACTCTCTAAGATCTGCCAACCTCTCTCACTCCCAGGCATCTTGATAAGGGTGTGCTATTTGTGGCTACTTACATGACCATTATCTTCTTGGAAATCGGTGCAGATGTAGATAATGAATCCTGAGGAACTACAGGAAAGGAAGGAACAGTCTAATTTACAAAAAACATGGTCCTAGCATGTTCATTGATTACTGGAGGAAAAACAAAGAGTGACAGTGGGGGGGATGGGATGTGATGAATGGGGTCAAGATGTGGCATTTCAACCGAGGTCATAAAAATCGATCAACTATCTGTCATGGTCTGCTGTGTCATTAGTTTTTCCACGTCTCTTTTTTTCAGTTAACTCCTCGTATTTGTAAGTTTCTGTTGTGTATGTGTCCATTTTATTTTGTGCCTTTATTATTTTTTCCAATATTTTTATGGTCTGATTTGCCTTTTTCCCCTCGCCTGTTGATTGCCATCCTGCTCTACTTTATGTACTTTTAGACCTGTTTTACTTAGTCTTTGTGACTTTTCCCTCCCCATTTCTGTCGGCGACTCCCCTTCTTTTCTCCTCCTGTTCGGAAATTTTTATCCAATAAGATAAAAGTTTTCTCAGTTCAGTTATTTATTTTTTGCTGCAAAATGAGACTGAAGCAAACCAACAGTGTCACTAAAACCTGTCATAAATGTTGCCATGTGGTCAAGTTGTTGTTATTAACAGTGATAAATTATCAGAAAAATCCCCTAATTTTTCTTCTCCAGAAATAAATTGACATTTGAACTCAGCAACCTGTTCTATATGAGTTTAACCTGGTTACAACATGGCAGCCATTTGAGTCGAGTTCCCTCAAGTTGTGCGTTCGCATTTATAAATTATTTAAGCAAATATATGAAACCTTTGACAACCACAGAGTGATTGCAGTCAGTCCAAGTCTGACAGCAACTGTTTGCAGAAAGGTTGCCTCCTATCAAGTGACCTATGTAATCACGATCACTGGCCGTAACACCTCCAAGCTCTGGACAATTTTAACTTGTATGACTGAGCCATTGGTTTGCTGAGCCGATTAAATGTAAATTTGCTCGGGTTACATGATCACGGGATGGTGGCGCATGAGGTGAGCCCTCTTGTTCATCGTTTTCCCAGAGTATTTTTATTTATCTAATAAAATAAATGGACTCCCTGTATCTCCACATAATTGCCACATAAAATATCAGGATACTAAGCTGTATCGATTTCTTTGCCCCAAACCTTAACTTTAATGGTCTTCTCCCTCCATCTGTAAATTAATTAACTTAATTATGTACTCTGCAATGCATCTTCTGCCTTGGTGCCTGCATTTGAAAAGTACACTAAAACATAACCCTATTAACCCACAGCTTTTACTTCTACTAGTAGAAGTGTGACTGGCTACGGTTACATCTTCTGACTGAAGATTTCAGGTCAGCTGTTTACATGGAATGTGATTTAATATGGTCTGAGTTTTACATGCATGGATGCACAAACACTAAACTGGGACAGTGTAACATGCATAAGAGTAATAAACAGAGTCATTTTCACTCAAACTGCAGCCCTGAATTTTTACAGGCATTACCCAGGAAAGAACATTGGACAGTTGGATTGGAAATTAATCGGAATTTGACCTGCCAGCTCCCTGGTCCTGTGATATTTCACTGTGCCATTGTAAGATGACATAGCCAAAAGTAGAGTGAATGTACAGCAAATGAGTGGTTGTCAAGTTTCCTACAGGCGTATTACCAGAAGTGAGAAGGCATCCAAAGCAGACCATAACCTGCTTCATGCCAAGTACGAGTAATGATCCAACTGGTTTCTCCTAGCATTAAGTTCTTGTGAAAGTTCTTATCCCTTTGATGGGTGTTGGAGCAGCTCTCTGATCTGAAGCAGTTTCCATTATTATCTTCTTTAAAATCAAACTCCACGTAGGGCCAATTCAGCTCAAACCACCATTTTTACAAAATTGTAAAAAGTGTTTACAACCTTTGTTTAGAAAAAAAAAAGGAATCATTTATGTGCTATAATTTCTTTTTAAATTCTGATCAGTTTATGAAAAGGTCCCACCCTATGCAACCATTTTAAATTTCAGTCAGTTTCAGCCGTTTCATATTTCTTTGTATGGAGCTTTTAAACCTTTCAGAATCATTAGGCTTCATGTAAATCTAACCCATGTTTGCAGACTTTGTCCAAAAACTTGCTCCAAGCCAGACAGAGATTATACCTTCTCTTCTGTGTATTTCCACTCTCCTTCCATGTCTCTTTCTCATACATCAGGGCCCCTCCCTAAGACAGAGGCACACGCTGACTAAAGGATGTCACCATAGCAACAAGAGAGAAAGAGCAAAAAAGATACACTGTGAGGAGGGAGAAGGAGAGAATACAGCGAGACAGAGAGAGACAGAGAGGGAGTCAATAACCTAAAGACAGAGAAAAAGAATCTGATAGAAAGAGCAGACAGATGGAGAGGCAGAGAAAGAGCGTCAGATGGCGGAGAAAGGCAGCGGGTGTTTCTCTCCGGTCCCAGTCACACAGCCAAAATACTGACCAGCTCTGACTTTGACAACAGAAGATATCAGCCTCTGACTCTCTCTCTCTCCGTCTATCTGTGTTTTTCACACCATCTCTATTCATATCTGTTAGCAGCGTTAATTTTGTCAGCAACAATCGGAGTCTGTCTGTCTGACTGAGACAGAGCGCTTCTTCTGCACAAACTTTGGCTGTTGAATGGGAGGCTTATTGAATCACGGCCACACCCAGCTTCTGCAGATCCTACCACCAAATGCATAAACAGACACAGGCCCACCTGGCATTCACATCCATTTTAAGAAAGGGGGGGGGGTTGTAAATGTGAGTCAATAAGCATATATATTAGAGGTGTAAATGCACCCGTGTTGTGATAAATCATCTGGTCTTACAAAAAAAAAAAAAAAAGATATAAAGGACATGAAATGGAAACGGTTTAGTGGCAAATTCAGCTAAAAAGGAAAACTACTGCATATATCTTGTAAAATACAGAAGATTTTCTATTATTAATATAAGTTTTGAAAAAAATTTGATGCTAAATTGTAAAGATTAGCAGAAATTCATCTAAAATATAATTTAGATTAACAAATGAACTAAATAAATACAAGCCATTACATTTATACTAAATTAATGTAATGTCAAAAATTCTAAGGCTACACTGTAATAGTCCCTGCAATGACCTAATCTACTCAACTACACTGACCACTTTAAGCAAAATTTCAAAAAACAAAAAAAATAACAATGATATAATCTCATAGTATTTAACCGATCATAGCCTCTACTTATAAATTTATTTTATGTGAGAATAAAGAACGTAATCCACCAAGACATAATCCACATGAGACTAATAGTAATTACTGGCATAAATAGGCAAGCACAGAGACACAAACCTGCTCAAGATGCCAAGTAGAGTCAATGCGGGGTTTGATTTTGCCGTCCTTGTAGAAATCCAGAATGGTATTCATTGCCTCGGTGATGAGCTCTGTCTCCCCATCTAGGTAGCCAAGGTGGAAGCCACACACCGACTTGTTTCCCTGAATCAAGCTGAGTGTGTGGATGGAGAACTGGTGGTACCAGTTCTTTGCCACAGCAAGCAGGTTCTTCTTTTGTCCTGCCAGCATGTTAGCCGCTCCTGGCAGAAAAAGTAAGAGCTTAAATCGCTTATCACTGGAATAAAAAGCTTAAGAAAGACTTTCAACTAGAAACTAACTTAGAGCAGGCCAGCTACACACCTGCAGTCAAAGGTTTTGTGACTACCTTAAATTCATGAAACACAGACTACTCAAAACTCTTTGTGTTGGCTCCTACCATTGAACTGTTATTGAGGCTGGCAAATTTATATGTCTATAGATATTAAGATATATAATATGGGGAGTTGTAAATAGATGGGGAAGGAACTGGAACTCTTTTGTTAGACCACACCCATTTTCAAACTACACCTCAGTTTTGATCTCAACTTCTCATCCTCAGTGGTGAGGATTAATACTTATTTTTCCACAGACAGAAACATGCATGCACGCCTGCCAAAATAGTCTAAATCTTCTTTGTGGTAGTAATAATACAGTATTTTCTCCAGGACAAAATTTTGCCATGAGATTCAATTATGAAATTTCCCAGTCCCCCACCAACTTTCTCAGTTTTTTTCATCTGCAACAGCTTTACCCACCTGATAACCTATTTTCATTTCCTGATAACCTATTTTCATCTTAGTGGTGAAAGACCCACTCTATTAATGTATTAAAAAATGAGCAGAAAATTGGATGACAGATAATTTTTTGTCAAGTAATGTACACAAAAAGATCACAAATGTTTCTTTTTAACTGGTCATTTAGTGTGGAGATTTGCCGTTTTGGCTGTTTTACGTCACTGTAAATTGAATATCTCTGTCAAGCGTCAAGTGCTGCACCTTGTTATATCGAGTTTGTTGTTTCCCTTCTGTCTCCCCTCAGTCCTCAAACTCTCACCTACACCTTCCACCCTAAAAAAAAACCCTCTTTAGCACTTCAGCTGTCACTGTCAACACATCCCTATTCCCCCTCATCCTGCGTTCATGTAGCCTATGGCCTCACTGTGTGAGCTTTTCTCAAGGGAAACAGGGGACACAAAGCATGCTCTGACAGAAAGAGGGACCCAGTCTGCTACATTCAGACACATTCCAGGTTTCTTGCGCATAAAACACTCATTGTTCGGCTACGCATACTTCTGATAAGCTGGAAAAGAAGCTGAGGGAGAGGATGGTGGGGTGGAGCTGGAGGGTTTTGTGGGGGTGACATGGATGAATGGGCGAGGGTGGAGGGCACCATGCTGGGTAGTAGGTTTCTGAGCAACATGCAAAGGGAGCACCCTGTTCTCCATGGATGCCGACCCCACCCACTGCATGTATACTGGTTCGAGTTTGGCATCTCAACACAGCTAGTGTAAAGGGCTTCCCACGAATGACATGCAGCATGCCGATGACATGGGCCTCTATTCTGCCCACCACTCTACTAGTCTGCTACAAATTAAAGGTTTGACATCATCGGTCTTATATTGGGTATATTGTCTTTTGTTGATGTGCTTTATTTCAAGCTGTAGAGTTGCAGTTAAAAAAAATGAAGCAGTAAATTGAAGCCTTAGCATTCCTACTAATGTTACATGGCGCTATAATAAGGTCACCAACAATTATAATGACCAACATTTTTGTTTAGACCTTAAGTTTTAGAAAAAAAAAAAAAAAAAAAAAAAAAAAAAAGGTGGCCACTTAATAGTATAGTTAAAAAATTACAGCCCAAATTATTGGCCTGTTCTTCCAAAGCAATGTTGTGGATAGCTGTCTCGTGAAAATTACCAACTGACTCTCAAGCATTGGCCTTGTTTTTCTACTTACCATAGGTAATAAGTTTGCCCATAGGCTTCAGCAGGTTGTAGGCCTTATGGGTATCTGATCCTCCAAGAGGGTCCAGTATTATGTCCATCCCTGGAGCAGAATAGAGAAGAAAGGGACAGTCATCACTGGTGTGAATTCAGAGAGAACAGCCTGCCAAGTCTCCTCAGCAGCCACCTCTGCATGGCAGAGTTCACTGGGAGTAGCAAGTGTGGCCAAGTTGCACCATGTTTGCACAGAGACGAGCCCATATATTCCAAGAGACGTAAGAAGAAGAGTCGAGTAAGGGCCTGCTTGTTTGATGTTCTTTCATTCTTGTCACTGATCAGACCAGAGGGATAAAATGACTTTGTTGCTGTCCATTCCTTGGAGGATAGAATAATAACCTACCCTCTGAACAGATGGTAAAGGATGGCAATCTAACTATGAAGGTTTCTTCGTGGCTTATTAATGGTGAACTATATAAGCTCAGGCCTAATGATGCTCCTTTCCGCCAGAGGGGACTCCTCAAATTGGGCTACCCCTCCTTGCTCTATTAAACCCTGCTTTTATTGATTGTGGGAGGCTCACAGCAGGACTCCGCCTTGACCACAGCACACATAAATTGACAGGCAGCCAAAGACACAGAGGGAAAGGTAGAGAGCAGGACTGCACATTGATCCAGGCTTCTAATTAGATACATTGTGTCCAAAGTGTCAGTTCTCGCTATCTGTCTCTGTAATGCCTGTCTGTCTAACTCTATGTTACAAAGAACAGAGACGGCCTGAAGAGGGGACTATGAAATGAGCCACCAGCATAATAACAGTCTCCATCCTGCTAGGATCACAGCAGTAGTTGGAAGGAGAAACAGGAACTGAACATTGTTTCATTTTACTGAAAAGCTGAATTCTTTTGTGCTCATCTTGGCGAGTCCATCTACATAAAACTGTGTGGATACGTTGTTGGTGGCAGTGGGAATCCAAACAGTCACTGTTTAGTGAAATGAGTTTGCTGGGTAGGGAAAATGACTCCCTACATGCTATCCGTCTAGTGCACATTGCAGCCAGCTCTGTCGAGAAAGACAATGTGGTTGAAAATGTATCATCTCAGTGTTTGCAGTCACACAGTACTGGTTCTTGCCAGGGGAAAATATCAATCTGAATTTCAGATTGTTTCAGTTTCAAATATGAAACAGTCTCAATATGAATTTAGGCAGCTTTAACAGTGCAGATGGCTAATTTTCTTACCTTTTGGACTGATCTTGCGGACTTCCTCCACATAGTCCTTGGTGCGATAGTCAATGGCATGCGTAACTCCACCCTGGGTGATGGTCTCATGTTTACTGGCTGAAGCAGTGCCAAACACAGTCACATCCTTCACTGTCTTGCACAGCTGAGTAGCTGCAATCCCCACACCACCTGAAGGAAGACAAGAGTTAATTTGATATGTGAAATCATGAACTGCAAAAAACACGATTTGTAATGAATTCTAGTGCAAACTCTATTTGGCATGGATTTATAACCAACTTAATCTTTCAAGGCGACACCCTGAACAAAACATACCTCAACACAAGCATCTAGGAATTTCCATTCTACACATACTTATGGCAGGTAAATGTGATTTTAATTATTAATTCTCCCAAACAAGCAAGTCAATATCAGTGTGAATGTGTTTTGCTCAGGGGTATGTAAGGAGCGCATTAAACACAATCACATTAACCCAGCTGGCCTGGGGTGAATAGACACCCACACACATCCAGGTCTGGAGAAAGTAGCCATTGTAGCTCAAATGACATCGAATTTCTGGTTCTCTTATTTGAAACAACCTGTCAAAAATTCCAAAGTCAAAAAAAAAAAAAAAGAAAAAAAAAAGGAGCTCAAGTCTTTTTTCCCCACCATTTGGAAAATGACAGTTGAATTACAAATGACATAGTTCCTTATGATCATGTCAGCTGAAAACAAAAAGGGCTCCACTGTCCAAGACTTTAAAGACAGATTGGATGTTTTGGATATCTGTGTTTTTTGTGTGCTGTATTCCAAAGTGTGTACATAGTTGTGGCAAAAGCCTCTGCCAGTGTTTGCAAAGGCAGCCAGCGCAAGAAGTAATAGGTTACTGATAAGCAGTGGCTTGTTTGAAATAGGGCCTGACTTGAGGACTTGAACTGAAAGGCATCCATAAAGGTCATTCATGCCTGACCAAGTAAAGAGTGCATCTTATCTGAATCAGAGAGTAAAGCAAAACATATTTAAATAACAAAATTTTAATTGCATAGTTGGGCTGCCTGTCTGCTAGAAAGGTTTGGAGTAGATGAATAATTTGCATGCTTACATAGACATCTACACTTAAATATTTAGTAGACTATGGAAGATCAAGAGCAAGATCATCTTAAAGACAGGAAGACAGAGACATGCATGAGAAGCACACATTTGATTGCCCTTGTGCAAAAGATTAGACTTGTGGAATTGATTGTTGTCAATAAGTTATCTTTACATACAGTGATAAAATGCACACAGTAGCAAAGTGTTTTGAACATGCCGTGGGATGTGTTGTTTTCAGTGGTTTCGATAACGTTGGAATTTTCGTTTCTTTTGTGATGCACAGAGCGAATGTTGTGCATCAGATGACACTGATGCACCTCTGGTCCCTTCATATAAACGTAAAGATTATTCTGAGCCAGTGAACCAGTCTTTTCAGAGCAACGTCTCAGCAGTTCCTCTCTGCGGATGCACTATTGCATAAAAACAGCAAAAAATAAATAAACTGAACCAAGATTTAATGATAGGATTAGGCCCCATTCTCTTACCAGCATGAAAAATAAAATGGTTTGCTTTTACTCCAGTGTTAAAAATAAATGAAAGTTTTGTAACTAAAATGTGTTATAGAGGAGAAAGAACCAGGAAATAAAAGCCCAATTTTTAAAAATTCAACTGCTTCAAAAGCCTTATTTTCAATGTGGTGACAAGAAATTCTTTTTATTTTGTGATTTTAATTTGACAGACTTAGACCAGGAGAGGTGAATCAATCACTCTGCATTGGTGTTATCAAGCCTACTGACACCAACGTTATTGAAGGGTATGAGAATCAAAGCTCTTGCTGCTGGACATGAAACAAAAATGAAAGTGAACAATAAACTGTTTTTTGATACACAGTCACCAAAATCATTCAAGGAGCGTCTTTTAAAGAAAAAAAAAAAAGGTAGTTACAGCGAACGGCATATTTAAAATCACAATAATTCCTTTAGTCAGTTCAAAAGACTTAAAACAAACACTGCATGGTTCACAGCAATGATTCTGATCTCATTTTCTGTTAGATTTGAATCTTTCACAGGGTTCAAAAAAAGGGTCAAAAAACTTGTAAAGACAAATCCAAATCATTTTAATTTGCTTCCTTCACAAACCTTCATTTCAGTGTAAAGAAAGAAATGTATTCTGTGTTGTTTTGTTGATGTAAGAGCCCGAGTCCAGGAAAGATGAATCAGCCGCTCTTCGTTACTATAATCACGCCTGCTGACACCGAGGGTACAACTGACGAGAAAACAAAATCGAGGCTGTTGCTGTTGGATGTGAGTGCCGTCACGGCTGCGTTATAACAGCACCGTCTCTCCTTGTCCTCAGTGAGAAACCAAGTTTGCGTTGCCAAGGAAACCTCGGCCAAATTGCCGACAATGACTGAGCAGAGGGAGCCATTTTGTTTCAATAACTGCTCTTGCTTTGGGCAAGTTTGTCATTAGTATCATATCTTACGTTATAATTAATATGTGATAACAAACAGTTCATCACAAAGCTGCATGCATGTTTCCACACATTCGAACACAGCGCAAACATGCCTGCTTGACTTGAGTTTTTGCACTAGTGCACACGCGACAGTTTGTGTGAGGTAGAGGGGAAGGCAGACAAAGTGAGAAATTGTTGAATATGCATCGCCTGTCATGTGGGAGGTTTAAGAGCTGTTTTTAGTCAATGGCTTTGTCACATAGTAGCAACCCACAGGTGTTAAAAAGTGTCCAACATGATGATGCATCCATTTTCCCTGCATACTTGCAGCCATGCACTCACATTAATGTTTAACCAATGCTACTGTAGTAAACATAGTAATTTCCCCTTCTGTTGCAGTAATACATAGTGAGGGGAAAACGTAGCAATAAGTGTCTGTTTTAATGATATTGTACACCCATATTTTGATAACGAGAGAAGACAAAATTAGTTCATACTGGCTGGTTACAAATGTTTCCAGTCAAAGAAACATTGTGGCCAATGAGGAGAACGGTACCTGTTTCTGAATCCCATGAGAACAAACTCCTGATCCTCCATCACAAGACTCCTGAGCTGTGCCAGAACCCCTTACTGCACCCCATCTCGATTCGCAAATACACACACACAGACACACACATTGATACATGCACAGATCACAAAGGAGAGAGGAGCGGGGTCATGCTTTGAACAGCTCTTAATGGCTGCTGGTATCTGCTAATCTTCACAAATATGCCAAGATTAAAATATTAACCTCTTATTAACCTAGTGCTTTTGCTTGTGTTCCTGAATTATAAGTCTTCCCTTTATATCTATTTCTTTTAACTAAAATAATGTTTCTTGGCAGGAGCAGAGTGTGAATTCATGTTAATTTAGAACCAGCCACAAACACTAATCCATTTGCTCAGGGAAGCAAAAAGCAGCTTAAGTACATTTTTGTTGCTAATTACATTTCTTCTCCTGAAGATTCAATTGAATTGTTTACACTCGGCGATTAGGAAATGTCAAAAAGCATCCACCTATCTGTTGTGTTCTTCCCTCTCCCTCTCTGGAGAAGCTGGATAAACAGTGGGGTTTTTGTCTTTCCCTGAATCCGTACATTCTAACATTCTGGCACAAATTGCACTTGGCTTCCACAATATGAGTTAGGAGTGAAGAGGAATTTTCCCCAAAACACAGTGGAATCCAAACTGACACTGAGGCCACTATTATTGCTCCACACCCAGAGTTCACCAGCAGGGGAGGGTGGGGACATGAGAAATATTTTTCAGATTTATAAAAATAAATAAAATATCCGCGTCGAGCGTCAATCAACTTTAAAGCCATATCCTTGTCAGCGTTTTGTGTTACTTGCCCAAATGAAGATCATCTTACACGTCACGGTGTTACTCAATTGTATGAGTCAGTCTGTGATTTCAGGTGTTAGTATGGGGACGGATGGAGGCCGTACGGTTACTGTCAACACCAGAAGATGACTAGTCCCTGGTCCTTGTTTCTTTTTCTGGGATTTCTTCACAGAAGGACTCATGTCCTCCTTAACCTATCATTAGTGGCTAACAAAGAATGAAATACAGGAATCTCTTGTTACCCAGACTCACCATGGCAGGGTTACAATAGAGCTTAAAAGAACAGCAAGAATCTCAACAAGTTTATTTGGTTCAACTTGTTGAGATTCTTGCTCTTCTTTTAAGCTCTATAATTGACTTCAGATACAACTCCTGTAATGACAAAAGGAGCTGTGGCTGGCTGTTGTTAATGTGTACTTTTGAGGTATTATACTACATTATACAAACTGTGTTTTCTGGAATGACTGTTCTAGTGTGTGTACTTGCACTGTGGGTTTGAAGAGCAGTTTAATGTGCTCTCTCTAATGTTGAAATTCTGTGTTTCATACAGGAAATCTACTTTTAGTTACTGTGAGTGAATTTAAAAAAAATATATAAAAAAACATCCCTTGCACATATGTGATGGTGGCCCCTATAATTTCCTGAGTAATGATTCTCACGTAGCACTAACATAAAAACAGTCACAGCACAGACCAAATAATAATATGCATGTAAAGGTATAGACATAACCTTCTTTTCTTGTCGCAAAATGAAACACAAGCTGGCGTGCACTTATTCTGTTTTGCCACACAGATACAGATACGATCACACAAACAGGTGTCCTGAAAAAGGTTTCACATACACCTGTGACTGTATGTGGTGGTTGGGATGAGGGTAGATGGGGTCATTTGTCAACGGCTACAGCAATGAGAGCGCGAACAAGCAACGTGATTGGTGGGTTAGGTTGGAGGTTGCCCTGGTTTCTCTTTCCTATCTGTGCAGCTGATCTGCCTGCCGGCAATGCCAGGCCCAGGGAACGCAGAGACGGTTCAACCACGCAGCCCAGATTCCCGCTTAGTGGTCAGAGTGAATTAGCATTTGCTAAACTAGGGTACGACCTCCTGTGCACACAGACTGGAAAGAAGAGGAAGGGAAATCATTTATAAAGACACAGACTTTTGTAATCACTCCAAGGAGCAACAAATCTGTGAGAGCCAGAGATGTAAGTACGCATGAGCTAATGCTTAAACAGCAAGGGACTTTGTTAGCTGGTAAATAATTGATGAGAACAGTAATCTGTGAGGGAGTCCTGGGAGGAGAAAATTACACTGAAATAAGAATCTT